TGAAAGCTTCGGTGAACACACGCATGGCCACGTAGGTCGACGCACGCTGGTCCATGAGCTGATGGTACAATATCTCCGCTAACAATGACTCCACACGTAACTGTTCCTGAGACAAACTACCCGGGGGATACCATATACGCACACGGCTCCAACGTTTTAACCAGTTGTAAGTTGGAAAGTACGGCGCACAACGGTCAGAATCCGGACCCAATACCACCACCTTCACCGCATCCCACGCGTTACCCATGAACGCCACACGTCCAGCACACCGATGCAAACGCGTCAACTTACCTCCAGAAATTAACGATGCAACCGCCACCGCCGCTCCTACTGTATGCCCAGACGCACTCGATATTGCCTTCATCGAAATAAATAAAAAATTTAAATGTCGATTCTTTTTATCGATCACCGAAGCAGTTCCCCCGCCTCATGCCAACTGACTCCCTCATGCCAAGAGGGAGTTTGGTTTGCTTGATGCTGCCTGGTCAACTTGACCTCTTTGGTGTTGGGTTTGGTGTTGACGACTAAACGGCTCATGACTTAATGAACTTAGAGCTTGGTCGCCTTATTGATTAAATTGACAAGTTGGTTTACGCTCGGACGAACGAATTGATCGAGTGAGTGACGAAATCGAGGACAAAAATAGAACGGGAAGGGGAGTTAAGGAAAATGGAAGTACCTGCGATGCAGAACCTTGTCCTTGTATTTAAGGACTCGGAGCGGGCATTGGCAGCCGCCGGTTGCTAGTCGCCGAAATTGGACCGCTCGACGACGGCTGTGGCACTGGCAGAGGCAACGGGTCTTTTTTCGCCGTAGTAGATCCACCCGGTATTGTGAGAGGAAGCGGATCCCGTCTGGGCGTCGTAGGGGGAGTCGTCGTCGTAGGGGGAGGAGTGGTCGTAGGAGGAGGAGTCGTAACTGTAGTAGTCGACTCTCGGGTGTGGGCTGGCGTGGTCGTCTCACCTGCCGTGGTCGACTGTTCTGGCGCGGTTGTTTGAAGTGTGGTGGTCGAGTGACCTGACGTGGTCGGCGCAAGAGTTGGTCGAATGATGCCGTCGGGATGATGCGGGTGGTGTCTCCAGTCCCGGTGGTCCCAATGGCCGTCGTTCCAGTAGGTCTGCTGGTAGTAGGGTTTGAGGAATGGGTTCATCACGAACGGCGTGACGTAGTTGGCGTCGAGTTGCGGCAGAACGGAGGCGAGCGAGACGGCTGCGTACGATTCTTGTGAGCAGCAGAGGTTCTTGATTTGGTCTGGTTCGACTTTGTTCATTTTGGACTCACCGGCCGCAACAACGACTTTGACCACGAATTCTCTCCAAACAGGCGTCAGGAAAGCTAGGGATTGATACTCGCCCGTTCGGCGAACCGCCTCATTGGTGAGCTGTTCTTTATGGAAATAGTAGAGTAGCTTGATGTTCTCGATGACAATGTCCAAGACTTCGGCGACTCTATAGTTTGAGAGTGCCTCCGCTGCATCCTGGATGTACGGGAGGGTCGCGACGAGCTCGGTTTGACGGATTCGTAGCACCAAAATGGCTTTGTGGACATCTGCAAACGCGTGTGCGTCATCGATTTTTAGCGCATCAAGAAAGACGTTGGGGAAATTGGGCTCGGACTGCGTCAAATCGAAGACGGAAGGCAAGTACCAGCCGTCCAGCACGCCTGCGCCGTGCCCAATGCGGCGCGCTTCGATAGCGAGCGCGTGATTTGCCTGCGCGCGCTGGAACTCGGCGTCGCGTTGTGGGACAGCGGCGGCCAGTTGGCGGTCGAGCTGAAAGTAGCCGTAGTTGCGTTCCTTCAGGTTCGGTTCGAAGGCGTCGATAAGTCGGCCCTTTTCGTCGACGTATGAGCTCGGTTCCGACCAGTCGCGGATATTGGCGACGACGTTCCGACTGCCGGACGTGCTGAGGAATTCGATGTCGCCCAGGTCACCCTTAGACACCAAGATGGTGCCGCGAAGGTTCACGCTGGTGGTACCACGGCCTATCAAGCTTCCGAGGATTTCCGCCACCTCATCTTCTTTGGCCACCACCGCAACGGGCGCATCCCGCACCACACCACCAGCACCCAAATACTTGCTCGCCCCCATCACCGGCCCACTCGTTGAATACACAATCGTTGTCGGCGCCAATGCGTTGAACCCCACCGATCCGGAACGGTATTCGATAGGCACGACATAACTTTCTTGCACCGGAGGCAGCCACGGAGTATCTGGCGCTGTGTTCGCGACCAACCAAGGATTCACCTGCTGAGTCCCTCTCAAAACACTGCCACCTACCAAATTCCACAAACCCAACAAGCCAAGACGAACCTTACCAGTGGTGCCCATCCTCGCATGCCCCCATCCTCGCATGCCCCCATCCTCGCATGCCCCCATCGGGCTTCACCCCGTAGGGTGGTTTCACCCCGTAGGGTGGTAGTCTTGTTCTCACCTTCTTCTCATTTTGGCATCCCATTCAACCAGCCCTAAGGGTCACGAGCAGCCCATCAGGGCCGGTGACAAGGAGTCTCAGGGTGGAGATTTTATCCGGTGGAGGTGGTATTAGATTATGAAGGTTATGGTAACTATACATTCCGTTTCTGGTCTCAAGGACATGGATGGTCTTTGGGGCAAGACAGACCCTTATGTTGCGTTGTCGTACGGATCTAGCTCGTGGCATACCGCCACTCAGAAGGATGCAGGTTCTGAGGCAGCTTTCGAGGAAAGTTGGACCTTTGAAACCGAAGAGGACCTCTTGTCCGAAGTTAAAATTAAAGTGAGAGACAACAGGACAATGATGCTAGACGGAGTCTTGGCCGAAGGGGCCATCGGCTTCGAACAAACAGCGGGCTACCATTTCAGCGGCGAAATCGGTCTCATAAACAAAGATCACGGCCACGAACCAGTCCTTAAGTTTACTCTGAAATGCCAGTAACGAACGCTCTTGACGCCAGCAACTTACGCCAGTATTTTTTTTTAACGAACGACTTCGGAGTTGATTCGGGTGTGTGGGGTTTCTTTTTGGAAAGGGGGAGACAGTTGGCGCGGACAACAAAAACTCCGGCCACTCTTGCAGCGCACCTCAAACAGCGTCCCTCGTTTAGTGGTCCCTCGTTTTGTCTCAGGAGTCGAGTTGCTTTTATTTTCGAAGTCGAGCGGTGATGAGAAGTTTACGGTCGATCCAGTTTGGTGGTGTCGGGAGCGTTGGCTGTTGTGGTGGGTCGACCCATCGATGGGAGGGTCACTGGGCCAACTGCTAGGTTTTGGCGAAGGCCCTGGCTCGGTGCGGGCGTGGGAGGTGCCGCAGGCACTGCATTCGTGACATACTTGATCTTATTGCTCCGAGCTGGAGACCGCCCCGGTGACGATGTGGTGCCGGCCCGCCCCGGTGACGATGTGGTGCCGGCCCGCCCCGGTGACGATGTGGTGCCGGCCCGCCCCGGTGACGATGTGGTGCCGGCCCCCTCCTCTGTGTCTGGGGTCACCACGTATTACTCTACCCCGGCCACACACAGCTCATCCCTGTCGCCCGATTTTGTGCCGGACCTCAGCGAGATCGGCAAAATTTCTGAGACGGAGCTGGCTCTGATGAAGGCACCGACGGACGTGTGCAGGCGGACATACAGCGACGTTGTGCAAGCGAAGAATGATTTGCCGATGGTAGAAGCGACGAGCATTGCCTGGCAGAAGTTGGACTGGAGCGACTGTGCTGAACATGGCGGCAGGATAGTGTGCACGCGTGACCAGAACACGGACGACGGGAACCTTGGGTGTCATTACTTTGGCACTCCGTGGAAATTCGATTTTCCTACTGTCTGGGAGGGTGTCGTTCGCCACGTGAAGCTAATAGGTGCTCGTACCAGTGTAACGACGAAGACGAGCACGACAAACTACTGACTGTCCGCCGAGCGCTGGAGATTGCGGGTTCGATTCCCGGCGTTGACTTGGACGGTGTCAGCGAACAGGACCTGTATACACTCGGAAGGGAAGTTGATCTGTCCCTGAATTACTACGCACGTCAACCTGGGAGCCCATTCCTGGATTTATCCCCGCCCAAGTTGGGAGACTGGTTTGACCACTGCAGTGGATCGGTAGAGACACTTTATGAGAGTTGGGTCACTCCGTCGTACGACGTCGAGCGCATGCAGTTTGAGAAAGTCACTGGGTTCTGGACAGACAAGTACTTGCCGCCGTATTATAGCGCTGCAGTTCGTACAGAAGGCTATGACGTAAAACACCACAACATCTTTTGCTAGAGAAAGGAAGAAAAGCAGGAAGTTGTAGACGCCTGGAACAAGATCGCCCCTGCCTATCGCCGTCCGGCTTCGTAGCCGTCATCGACCATGCCGCGGGGTGCTTGTGGAGGGCGAACCCGACTAAGCGGTCAGAGCCGAAAAAGAGTGTCGCTTCCGGTTGGCTAATGATTGATTCATTACCGTCCTCTTGGACCACTCGAATGTTGCTGCCGACTTCCTTGATCATCCCCGGAGTCAATTGGAGAGTGCAATTAATTACTGTACAAGGCCGCCTCCACCACGCGTGTTGTCTCACGTAGCTCTCTGGGCCTATCTATCCGGTGAGCCTACTCACCTTTTCCAGGTACTGCCGAACCTCCTCACCTTTTCCTGGTACACCTCGACCTCCTTGTTGGGCCTGGATGGTCGTATCTCTCCACCCGACATGCATCGGGGTGGTAAACACCTTCATGGGGAGCGACCATTTGGGCGCGAACCACCTGGCGTCTCCGATCCGTAAAGGGACGATGCTGCGGAGCTTGGGTCGACGAGCACCACGACGATAACTCCTGTTTGTATGTCGGTCGGTGGGTCTTCCTCTAACGGTCGGTTTCTGAGGAGGGACTCGGCCGTTCGCTCTCGGAGCATTTGTTGTCCCACTTGCTTGCGTTTTTGCTCCGAGCTCGGTGGGATCATGTCCTGCATTTTGTCCAGGACAGGGAGTTTGCCGAACACTGCCTCGTACTGGGATGTGTTTATCGCAGTACTGGGATGTGTTTATCGCAGAGTGGGGCCTTATGTTGTGCAGGTGGGTGGTTGCATCCACCATTAGTTCCCTGGCTCTGACGCCTTCTTGCCATTGGCGCCTTCTTGCCATTGGGACTTGCGTTTATGTCGTTTCCTTGTGGTCGGTACGGCGCGGCGGTTAGGTGCTTACATCCTAACTGGCACGTTACCTTTGTGCGGAAGACCCCTCGGAAGCTGGTGCCGTTGTCCGTCAGTACTATTCGTGGAACGACCCAGAGCCGGTAGAAGGTCCTGAAGGTCCAACGTCGTATCGGGTCGCGTGGTCGAGTGAAACGGCGTCCATGGCGGCGGCCTTTCCCAGCGCCCCTGTCGCTTTTGCTGGTGCACCGGTGGTGTCTTTTGTCTGGTCACATGAGGCACCTCTGGTCATTTTTTCGATGTCCTGGGCGTAGTTGGGCCAGTAGTGTAAGGCTTAAACCCTCTTGCCGACTCCCAGGTGGGCGCTCGGACCTAAGTGGAATGGATGACCAGCCGTGTGCGCAACTGGCAGGGGACGTAGATCTTCTGTGTCCTGAGATGGATCCACCACAGGTCGTTGTAGTGGTGAACTGGTAGGTTGGGGTTCCCCTCTATGCTTTGACGAAGTCTTCCTTTGTCGGGGGCGCAGGGAGATTGAGCAGTCGGGGTGCCCACATAGCCGCGACCTTCACCAATAGTGCGTCGTCTCCTTCGTCGTCGTCGGTCGCCAGGGTGTGACGAAGACGCACCGAAACCTCTCCGAGGTGTCCGGGCTGTTTCAGTTTTGCCCTGCCGCGCAACGACCGGGTTTTGCCACGTCGGAAAAGGCCCGACCGACCCGAAGCCTGGAGTGTACTTCGCATATGGGGACCAGCCGCACCGCCAATGCCGGCCCCGAACTAGTTTTGTCGTCCACCACGGCGTGGAGCGTTTGTCATCCCCCCCAAGCACAAATATAAGAAGGCGCGTCCAACGAAGCCCTCAACTGTGGAAGGTGTCAATGCCGGCATGCCCGACCACACAAAGTACTGCGCTACTCTTCTCACAGTCTTTGTCACACCCATGTGTGCTCCTCCTCGTCCGTAGTGCAAGCCGCGAATTACTCTCTCGTAGAGCCCCGGGCACGTACCCTCGACCCGTCGCGCTCTACATAACCTTTGTGTCCTGGTTGGCCCTCCTCCTGGACTGCACGCCTCACCTCCGCCAAACTCGGCAGATCTATGCCCACGTCTATCTTGTCCACCTGCTTGACCGGTAGTCCCATGGTGTCTAACAGATCATCCTCGTCGATGTCTGGAGCGGCATACCTAAAGCCAGTCGGCAACGTTATTCTGACTTCCCTGTAGGAACTCTATATCGAAGTTAAATCGCACTAGGTACAATGCCCAACGCTGGGCCTTGCCCGTGTGGGCCGTCGCTAGGTATCTGAGGTTGTTGTGATCCGTCCGTACCACAAACTTCTCTAGGCCGAGGTAGTCTCGCCATTTCTCTAGCGCGTACTTGATGGCGTAGAGCTCCCTCTCTCGGGTATCCCACCTTCGTTCTGTGTCCGACAACTTACGGCTTGCATACTCCAGGGGCACTTCTTGGCCGTCTTGCTCCTGCATGAGCGCTGCTCCTACGCCCACTCCGGAGGCATCCCTGTATACTACGTACGGACTTCCTGGCCGTGGCGCGTGTAAGGTTGCGGTATTCGCTACTCCTCGCTTGAGA